ATGTTTTAATTGTTCATGAGGCCGTACTTGAGACCAAAAAAATGAGTCAATAAAAAATACTGCAATAAAAAAATGCTGTATTGTTTATCTGTGTATAGTGTTTAACACTCCAAACATTTAATTTATAGCGGAGCTCCCGCGCGGGCCAAAGGCCCGCGCGAGCGGAGCACCATAACTAAGGAAAAATGGTAAACCCATGGGGTTGAGTTTTGATCAACCGACACAGGAAGCCCACTTGTCCTTCCGTACGTCCGTCCGTCCGTCCGTGTACATCGCGATCCTGATTGGCTACTTTTGAGAAGGCGGGAAAAGGAAGCGCGCTCACGTCAATTTTTGAAACAACTTTTTCACCACAACGACGACACAACGACTCCATTTTTGTCCTTTGAAATACTTTACTTCTGCGCCAAATGTCGGAAAATCAACGGGTAAATAACGGAAAGCGATCTTTATCTGAAGAGGAACAGACAAGAAGAAGATAAAGAGAGCGTCGAAGAAGTCTAAGTGAAGAACAACGCAGGCTTGAAAGGGAGAGAAAACGTGAGAGACGAAACAATTTAAATAATAAAGACTCAAGCAAATCGAGAAACAAGTGAACGCCAAAGACAACGATTATTGAGGGAGAATTTCTCATAGGAGAATATCTGACATATTCTCCGACGATACCGTGGCGTTATTAAACAAATGGCAGTATGTTAGATTATAAGCTTACATGCAAGCGGTTTTTGGTGCTCAATTAACTTATACCAATTCTTCTACTTCAAGAACCTTATAATAGGCAGTTTTAGTCTGGTTTAAATTTGCTTTTGAATTTGAAAATCTTTACCTGATACACTTCAAAACTTCTCAATTAAATGAGCTTGTTGACAATGAAAATATGTGTGAATTGTGTGTACATTCTATCCACAATAATAATCATGTTTGACATAAAACTACTCGGATGTTTTAAGTATAAAACTATGCATTTTGAAAAGAGAGCCTTGATATTATTTGAATGTTCAGATTTTTACTCTTTATTCTTCAATAAACTCTTTAATACAAACTGTCAACAAATACAGAGAGCAAAGATAAGCAAAGAATTTGGGAAGTTGAAAAATGGATAATCACTATGAACATTAAGCTTATGATTCCTTTAATTGTTTACAAAACTGTCAAAATGTATTATCATTTATGATCACTGTATGTCAAAAATGTATTGAGGTAATTGGTGTCATTCCTGTGTGATTAAATTATTAATTTATTACGTATGTTTCCTGTATGATTGAAAAACCACCAAAACTGTCAAATTCAAATGACCCATAAATCATTTTTTTGGATCACTGTATGATTGACAAATATCAACTGCCAAAATGCATTTATTATTGTTTTCATTCCTGTGTGATTATATAAAGGATATTACATGGGTGCATGGAAATATTGTGCTAACTTGTGGGATAAATAAATTCAAAACTTGAAGATAAAATTCATATCTTCAAGTGACAGCTGTAATGTTCTGTTTATTAAAGAATCATAACCACCCGCCGTACCTTGCGAACCGAAGCGCCATTTTAGGTGGACAAGAAAATGGCGGATTTGTAGGATTTCTTAAAGTGAGCGCCAATCGTCTTCCGTCCTTACAGTTTGGACAGAAATAACTTTAACTAAGTACCTCACAGGTACTATCAATCTATAATTTATTGTATGCTTGACGCATTTAAACGTATGTAAACAATAATGCGAACGCGCAAGGTACGACGGGTGGTTATGATTCTTTAAATGACATTGGTGTAAGCAAAAGTGTGTAACATTTTCATTATAAGATCAAAAATTTTGAACATTTCAAGAACATATTAATTATTAATTTATGATTTATGCATGATTGAATAATACCAAAACTGTCAAAATGCATTTATATTATTTTATGATTCCTGTAAAGATTGAAAAATACCAACTATTAAGAATTTACAAAAAAAATTACAAACAATTTCAATCTATTGACATATAAAGATGCATAATTGTTATTATTTTTATTACCGTATTTCTGCATGATTGAAAAATTTCAACTGTCAATTCAAAATGAATTTAATAATATATATAAATCCTGTATGATTGAAAAGTCAAAGTTTCAAAATATATTAATAATTTATATTAATTTATGATTTCTGTAATCGGAGTACAAACATTAAATGTGTGCAATACTTTCCACTATTTAGTACAAAATAATGTTAATTAAACAATAGAATTAGCATAATTTAGCAGTATTTAGTGGTATTTATGTTGCACAGTTTTAGTGTTTGTACTATATCTAAAGAAGTTTTATTTTGGTAAATAACCTAAATTATGTTTTATGCATTATACATGGTGTACTCTTCATAAGAAATTGTGCACTATCTGAATGCACACAATACCACAAGAATTCAAAATAAGTGGTTTTCTTTACATATATTTATATGTATCTGACACTGCTTTGCATCAACAAAGCTGAAGAGAAAATATTTAATAATTATTTAATGTAGTGTAATGGAGTTTTTTTGTTAGAAAAAATAACTTTAGTCTTGACAAAACATGTAGTACTAAAAATGTGGCCAATGTGTCTTGCATCCCATCTTTATCCAACATGCATATATTTTGGGAGCTCCGCTATTAGGTTTTACCTAATTTTTATATTACAATATCATGTAGTCATCTCAAACCAACTTGAACCCCCGGTGCCGCCAACAAGGGTATCATTTTCAGCGATTTTACTCTGGAACAGGGTATCGATTTTAACGAATTTTCTCTGGAACAAGGTCAGGGTTTAATTCCTGAATTATTGATGCTGGGTAAAAATTTGGTCTATACGCAAGCTAGTACAGGATTTTCTCTGGAACAGGATATCGTTTTCAGTGATTTTACTCTGGAACAGGGTATAGTTTTCAGGGATTTCACTCTGGAACAGGATCAGGGTTTTGACGTCCCAGCGGCACACCCCCACCCAAGTTTAGGGGGGCTTGAACTGCAGACAGGAAGTAAATGTAGGATCTAAATAATTGTTGGATTATGTACTAGTATTACAGTCATTGGAAACTTGGATGGGCATTATGATTCAATATGACTGTTATTTTCCATTGTTATGCAGTTTATGTAAAAGAACTGAAAGTCATCAATATCCAGAAGAAAGGAGAAACCAAACTAAAACATGAATCAAAGAAAAAAGAAGATTAT